GTTTTTCTTTTTTACTTAAAGGATGATAGAATCTTACACAGAGGTAAAACTTATTAGATTTTATTTCAATAATAAAACTACAACTTAGGATTCTTTATGTGATAACTTTATTTTGGCCAATTCTTTATCCTTCTATGATTTTTGTTATCCTTATTATGCTTCCATCTGTGTCATTTTTTTACCTATTTATCTACAATTTAGGGCTGTAATTTTATGGCTTAGGTACTCTAATTTTTATCCATGGTATATTTTGTGTCAAAAACCCCAAATCCAAATTTCAAACCCTAAATAAACCCCAAAGTCCAAACCAAAATTACAAGTTCAAACCTTATGATTGTTGTTATCTTTATTATGCTTCCTTCTATGATTTTTCTACGTTTTAAATACAAAGTTTTAGTTATTCATGTTGGGGAATTTGAACCGGTGATGTATTGATAATTATTTATAGGAGACTAAGCATACTGACATAATATTTAACATGGTTCAACAAATCGCCTACATCCACAAGAGAATCGATATTATTAGAGATAGAGAAAGGATACAAAAATAAATACATGAAGGAGAAGGATCATATCCACTTTAACTCAACTCCTAGCTCACACACACTGTTGTATATGGCAGCATGGCTGCTGCTCTTGGTAGCCCATCTTTCTCTCTTATTCTCTTACACATACTCACCACACTCTCTTTCTTATTACTCTTAAATTATACCTCTATTTATAAGCATCAATGGTAAGACAAAATCTACAAATCATGGCATGATTTGTGGCACTAATGGTGGCAACACATGAGTTGCACCATTTTGTCAATGGTTGGTGCAACTTGGCTACACACTTACTATTATAGGTTTTTGACAATGACAACCCTATTTTTTAGGGTAGGCTGCAAATGATTACTGCATATTAATGACAACAATTCTAACACACGGATGAAAAAAAATTAATAATTGTTTTTTTTTCCAATGTAATTTCAGCAAAAGAAACTTCAAAAATTTGTTATTTCCCTCTCAGAAATTTAAGACCCTGCTGTTGTCAGATACAAATGGATATTTATGCCCACCTTGCTGAATGTAAAGAGATGAGGTGGTTGAGTGTAAATCCTGCAAAGTATTATCTAACCAGCTAGATGGTTGCGACATTAGCTGTTTAAATTAATGTAAAACCTGTCCAAGACAAACAATCTGACGCCAACATGAAGGTTTTACAATCAGCTCTAGCATATAAATATTATAATTATGGGGTGGAAAACGACCGGCAATACGTGCATCGAGGAGTAAATTAAAGATAAGATTAGAAAAATGAAAGGGTTATTCTAGCTGACTCACCATTGTTAGGTAATATCTAATAAAATAGCCAACCCCAAGTTGAGCTGACGCTGCTTGCTTTCAGCCAGTGACACGATGCTGTGTCACATGTAGACGATACTATAATAGATTGCCGGGGTGTTTGACACGGTTTTCTGTTTCTGTTTCTGTTTCTTTTTCTATTTTTCAGAAGTGTTTTTTGGCTTGAAAAAAATAAAAATAAAATAGATGTTTTTTTAGTGTTTTCTGCATCCCTGTACAGATAACAAGGTAACACGTGCTTTCTCTGCATATATAGTTGATAAATCTGTAATTCTGAAGTGCCAAGCAGTATTTACCATTTGATGACAAGGAGTTTGGTTTGGATACTGGTATCCCAATTGCAAGTTGGCATGCTGTTTTCAAACTGAAACTTATTTAAGTGATTTCCTTCGTTTTTCCTTGTAGGTTATTTCACTCCTCATCTAGGCACACGTAACTCCATAAACACATCAGAACCTAACACCATGGACTGACCTCTAGAGAGCAAGCGGCACATGGGAGTTGAATTTACTCGTGTCGGCATTTGGTGCGTGGGCTGGAGGTCATGGACTTTACTTTTCATCTTGTGTTCTATTGTCTCTTCTTGTCCTACCCGGCCTTTATCCAGTTTCATTAGCACATCAAGCACATATTACATAGATGGAAGCCAAAGAAAGTGCTTGGTCTACCTAAACTAAGCTACTGAAATCCCTTAGATTTTGAAAAGAATAGCTCTTCATCATAGGATTGAAAATCTGGATTGTTGCTTCCATTTAGGAGTGTTTTTTTTTTTTTTTTGTGTTAAAATGAAAATTTGTCACTATGCTGATTTCAGAGTTCTGCAAGTTTCGAATGGTGTTTATCTCTTCGAAGCTGCAAACGCAGAATTTCCTGCCCTTGGAACTCTTTTTATTTTGGATTATGATTTTTCTTTGTTTGGTTGGTTGTGAGCTATCTTCCCTTTTGTGGTATGTTCATAAACATCATAGTTTTTGTAAGGAAAGTTTGATCACATTCAAAAAAAAAAAGCTTTCATTAATTTACAATCAACTTCGCAACCACTAGCATCTATCACAAAAAATTACAGATGCAAATCATGGTTTCCAATCAGGTTGCCTTTTCAAAAGAATGTTTGGTCTTGCATAATTGTAGTAGATTTCCCGATTGCCATTTTTCTGATAGGTGCAGTAAATCTCAGGCACATTTCCAACCTCATGATAATCTTCACCATCTCCATCCGGATGGAGCCTCCCGATGAAATCGTTGGGCACATCAAATGGAAGAATCTGCAATATTTTAATGAATTGGACAACCGGCTTTTGGAGAAAAGTCCTGGCCGCTCTCTGTGCAGTTCCATCAGGCCGTAGCCTCTTGACAAAATCATACGGCATGTCAAAAAAATCAAGTGTTTTGAGCTTAGCGAGGTGTTTGATTCCAGAGGGCACCTTCTGCAGTAGTTTACAACCCTGGACAACTAGCTTCTGGAGAGAAGGCAATGCTCCCTTCTGCATGGTTATAGATTTGAGCCGTTCTAATTTGTTTAGACCCAAAACCTTAAGCTTTCCGAATCCTTCATTACTGAAATGCAGTGCTTCGCCACTATAAACTTGTATAAATTCAAGGTGCACCAGATTAGGCAAATTCCGAAGAAAAAGCAGCGGATCTTCACGTAAGCGACTCCATTTTAAAACCAACTTGACCAAACTATCAAGTGAGAGTATCCAGGCTGGTAACCTCTCTAAACGTCCTGTCAAGTATAGTCGCTGAAGAAATTGAGGAGGAGAAGATAAGTACTCCAGATCAATGACCTCGCTCTCTATTATTGAAGTAACAGACAATGCACGAAGGTTCGTCAGCTTATCAACGGAGGAACATAAATCCCTCCCATCTTCCTTCCGGAACTTTAGAATGCCTAATCTTCCCAGTTCTGACATAAGTTTCTGGCCTTGGTCTGCTTCTAGGAAGCAAAACTTTTGTACTGAAAGCAGATTTCCTATCTGAGCTGGTGCCTTGAAACCGTGTTTGTTGCGAATTGGATCATCAGACTCCTGAGTTTCATAGCGATACACTAGCAGGTGGCGAAGCTTTTGGAGCTTCAGAACGTCAACAGACAACTCTATGACCTTGGCATGTGTCACGGGGTACTTTTTCGCTACGCGAATAAACCCGTGCGGCAGCCTAGTCCCTCGCTAGACTCAGCCTTCCCTCGTCTATCTACTCGTGTTTGCCTATTAACTAAGTGTTTCCCTCACCCGAGAGGTTTCCCCACTTTCCCATGTTAAAGACAAGCGGAATACACAAGTAGAATTGCTCTTAACCAAGCACACTGAGAATACAAGAATACCTCTCAACCTTTATTTATCTCATCAACAAAGGATTACACAACGTGTGCTATGCATAGAATTCGCATGCTACACCAACAAGTTTATATACGTTATTTCCTCTCTATGCATTCTATTCTCTATGTATTCTCCCTGTACAACAAAGAATTACCATCACCATTTATAGCCAAGTATGTGAGCTGCAGGGCACCCCCATGATCCCCATATTTTAGGACATAATAGGCACTTACTCCCCCATGATCTCCATGATCATTTGTGGCTCACCCATATCCTTATTTTCAGGATATAGTGGAGAACTTCCTCCCCCATGTGCTTCATGACTTCAGCAACTTGGAAACACCCCAGTTATGCTCCCACTTTCTGCATGCTTGCCTGACAGCCCCATTTGCCAGCTCTAGCTTCATCTGCTGTTAAATCACCCACATGCCTTGGACAGTCCTTCGTCCAAGTTTTAGATCTTGCCAAGTCAAGCCCCTGACTTGTGCAAGGTCTTGTGCGCTGCCGAGTGCGCACCCTGGGTACCAGGTCGCCAAATACTGCGATGCCAAATCCACATATGCGTGCAGACCCCCATATCTGCGCTGCCGAATGCACATCTACGTGCAGGCTGCCCAATCTTGCACTGCCTAATTCGCTTTTGCGTGCAGGCCCCAAATCCTGCGCTGCCGAATTCACAACAGCGTGCAGGTCCCAATCTTGCCTTGCCAAATTCGCTTCTGCGTGCAGGTCCCAATTCCTGCGCTGCCGAATTCGCATCTGCGTGCAGGCCCAATTCCTTCGCTGCCGAATTCGCAACTGCGTGCAGGCCCCAATGTCTGCACTGCCGCATTCGCATCTGCGTGCAAGCTAGCCAAATCTTGCGCTGCCGAATTCCCATCTGCGCGCAGGTTCCCAGTGTCTGCGCTGCTGAATTCCTTGACAGCCCCAATTCTCGTCCGCCCATATCCCAGACGAGTTTTCCTGTCTAGCTTGGACATTCCATCGCCAAGCCCATAGTCCTCACCAATCTGTGCTGCCGCATTCCTCGACAGCCCCAATTCTCGCCAACCTATGCCCCTGACGAGTTTCCTTGTCTGGCTTGAACATTCCATTGCCAAGCCTATGTTTGTCAACATCCTGTGCTACCCTGCATTTCTCGACAGCCCCAGTTCTCGCCAGCCTATGCCACTAACGAGTCTTCCATTCTGGCTTGGACATTCCATCGTCAAGCCCAGCATTCTGTGCTACCAATTTTTCCTTTGACAAACTTATAGCCGCATAAATCTGCGTTGCTAATTTATCCCATCATTGGCATGGCTGCCAGCACCCTTAGGCTTGGTATTGGACAACATACCTTAGGTGTGCACCCCGTGCACATTTAACACTATAACAGCATGCTTCAAATCCAAACTTTCCAGGTTTTGAAGCTTGCTAATTGAGCTTGGAACGGAATTCACCTTGGTATTCCTCAAACTTAGATACTTTAAAAAGATGAGGCTGACCACTTCATTTGGAAATTCCTTTAAAGGCGTGCCTTCCATATCTAACACGGTAAGCAGCCTTGAACGAGAAGGCGAAATAAATTTAGGAGGCCCGGGAAAATAATCTATTCCCCAGAACACCAACAATGAACGAAGGCGAGATGCAACATGTATTTGTCGCATGGTTGGCATGTCGTTATGTATCGATACACGACAGACCTTTTCAGACCAAATCATGTTCTGTTCCTTGGCTATCGCAATGAAATCTTGCTCTTTTGCCTTTGCAATCAGTATCTCACGGAGAAGGTTGTGGATGCGGCACGTTTTAACTTGTCCATAACTGGTTGCCTCTACCATAATCTATTCCCCAGAACACCAACAATGAGCGGAGGCGAGATGCAACATGTATTTGTTGCATGCTTGGCATGGCATTATGTATCGATACACGGCGGACCTTTTCAGACCAAGTCATGTTCTGTTCCTTGGCTATCGCAACGAAATCTTGCTCTTTTGCCTTTGTTATCAGTATCTCACGGAGAAGGTCGTGGATGCGGCATGCTTTAACTTGACCATAACTGGTTGCCTCTACCACTTGGACCAAACTTCTTTTTATGAGCTCATTCAAAAAATCATCTGCAACCTCCTCTAATGTCATTCCCTCCCTTCCTTTCACAAACCCTTCTGCTATCCACAATCGAAGAAGTCTCATACGCTGAATCGGTATGCCTTCAGGGAAGATGCTGATGTACAACAAACATGATTTGAGATAATATGGTAAATCATAGTAACTGAGTGATAGTATCTTCAACGCATTCCTCATTCTGTTGATGTCTTCCAATCCAGCACCAAGACTATGGTACACCATTTCCCATTCGTCTATTTTACTCCTGTCCCTCGTCGCAAGAACACCACTCATAGCCTCAATAGCAAGCGGCAGTCCTTCACATCTTCCCAGAATTCTTTCTGAAACGTTCTTCAAATGTGTTGGGCAGTCGTTGTTTCGAAATACCTTCTTGCAAAACAAAGTCCAAGACTCTTCTGGAGATAATGGATCCAAATTGTACACTTTATCTGGGAATTCTATGCAGGCAGTAAGGGCTACTTCAGTTTTTCACGTTGTCAGCAATATATGGCTACCACGACTGTTGTTCGGGAACACGGGTTCAAAAGCATCCCAAGCATCAGTATGCCACACATCATCTAAAACAATGAGATACCTTTTTTGCTGAAGGAATTTATTGATTACCGTCTTGAGCTTATCACTGTCCATGTTGTCCACTCCTTGAGGAACAGTTTTCTAGAGCACACGGAAGAGCTGTTGAATTATATCTTTTAGAAGGTCCTCTTCCTTGAAAGATGGAGAGAGGGTGATCCAAACCCTGAATTGAAAGTGTTTCTTTACATCTGCATCATGATATACTTTTCTCACCAATGTGGTTTTACCCAAACCACCCATTCCAACCACTGATATCACTTCACGTTCGGATCTGCCTCTGACAAGCCACCCAATAAGATGCCTTTTGGGCTTTTCAATGCCAACTATATTTGCTTCTTCAACTATATTCCCTGGCCTGGCCACCCTTGGTGTGTGGGTGGAGCTCGAGCTTGGCTCCGTTATGTTGTTCCTGATCAAATATCTCCGATGTGCCTCTGAGATATTTATAACTCGGCTTTTGAGTGCTTGGATTTTTGAAGCAATTTGATACCGAGTGATTAGTACTTAAAAGTGCATTTTTATCATGGTTTTATATCATCATTTTACACTAGAAGTATCAATAACTCCTTAACTAAAATATGTTTTATAATAATATATCTAATAATATAAGATACCTATAATTTGTGGTAAATGTCTATTTTTAATGCAGGCCTATCACATAAATGAAAGGATTGAATGATGACTTGAAGAACTTAAATTGCAAGGACAAAGAGATGGCCAAACTTAGAAAAGAGATGTCGGTGCAATCCAAACCGGAACACTGTTCGGTAAATGGGTCATATCTGGAGCTATATATCTCAGATTTAGGTCCAATTTATATGGATAGAAAGGTAAGACATAGGCCTACAACTTTCATATGGAGCCCAAGATCTAAAAAGGCCATTATCAAGTCCAAATTGTAGCAACAACAAAGAAGCCCGAATCTGTCTTCCAGCCCGAGCACTGTTCGGTATTTTGGCCATATCTGGAGTTCTAGAAGTCCAAATGAGCTGAAATTTTTACACAAGAAAGCTGAGACAATTGCCTACAACTTTCATGTTTGCAACTGGCTCCAGTTTTGACGTTATCAATGACGTTTTGGGCAGACAAGAGAAGATAAGGATTGTCACCAAGTCAAAAGTTGGTCACCCACTTATCAATTAGTCATCAAATCAATAGTTCCCATTTTTGGCCTATAAAAGGAGGCATTTGCCATGCATTTAGGCATCTTGGTGTTCAGATCAAGATCATGCTCTTCCTTTCTCTCTTTGTATTTTTTATGCTTTGTTTTCATTAATATTAAGTTTATGCCTTTCATTTCCTTTCCTTTACTTAGTTAACTTTTATGTTCTTATTTTGTTTATCTATTTTGCTTTCTTTCATTATGTCTAGCTAAGTTAATTATGTCAAGGTGAAAAGGTTACACTAATGGTGTAAGAATAAGTATAATGTAAACTTAATATGGACTTTAATGTTTGATACTAACATGTTTTATATTTGCTATCTTGTTCACTCTTTAATACTTTGCTTGTTAAATGACTAATCTTGATTTATGTTGTATAACACTTGGTACAACAAATGCTTGGCACTTTCATAGCCCATAATGTATGGTATAACCGACACCTGAGCTATGAAAGGAACTTGATTTGTTGTTAACATAAGTTATAATCATGAATGCTTGACGAGATTTACAAGTATTAGCATTAATTGAATAAGATGACTAATGTAATCATGTTAACAATATATAATCTGATTGGAACCTCCTTTGTGTGTGGTTTCCAATTCAATAATAAGAGTTTATACTATACTTGTTTGATATACCATTAGTGGAACCTCTAACCTTGACATTTGTTATTATCATTGTTTAATCGTTACATTAATATTCCATCTCAAAGTTCTCATCATCTTCTTCTTCTTCTCTTTCTTTATTATTATTATTATTACTACTACTACTACTACTACTACTACTACTACTACTACTACTACTACTACTACTACTACTACTACTACTACTACTACTACTACTACTACTACTACTACTACTACTACTACTACTACTACTACTTTTTTCTTTTTTTTTTATTTTATTCCTACACGTGCATGAGAGTGTGGTCACGTACATCAAGTGGTAGACTTTGTAGGGTATCCTCATCATTTTCAGAAAATATGGCCGAAGAAGATAATCAATCACTTCATAATGAGAATAATGAGAATAACCGTGCTAGAACACTTAGAGACCACATGAATCCCACAAGAACAAGTGCACCATCATGCATAGTTTTTCCTCCTGATGCATCTCATTTTAATTTTAAACCAGGTATTATTCAACTTTTACCTTCTTTTCATGGTTTGGAATTGGAAAATCCATACTTGCATTTAAGGGAATTTGAGGAGGTGTGCAACACATATAATAATTTAAATTGTAGCATGAACACCATCAGATTAAAGCTTTTTTCTTTTTCATTAAAAGATAAAGCTAAAACATGGCTACAAAATTTAAGACCAGGATCCATTCGTGCTTGGGATGAAATGCAACAACAATTTTTAAAGAAGTTTTTCCCATCTCATAGAACAAACTCTTTCAAGAGACAAATCACCACTTTCACTCAAAAACCAGGAGAAACATTTTACCAATGTTGGGATAGGTATCGAGACTTGCTTAGTACTTGCCCTCATCATGGTTTTGAAACATGGAGATTGGTTTCACATTTCTATGAAGGGTTAACACCTAAAGATAGGCAAATGGTTGAATTGATGTGCAATGGAACTTTTGAAGATAAAGACCCTGATGAAGCAATGGAGTACTTAGACTTGTTAGCTGAAAATGCTCAAAATTGGGACACCGCGGGTACTTATGAGGCACCGAGTAAAACTCAACCTCATACATCTAGTGGAGGCATGTACCACCTTAGGGAAGATCATGACTTTCAAGCCAAGTTTACATCTTTAGCTAGAAAAGTCGAGGCACTAGAATTGAAAAATAGTGGTCAATTAAAATCTATTGAAAACATTGTGTGTCAAATCTGTGAAACAAATGAACACTCAACCAACGATTGTCCAACCTTGCCTTCTTTTAAGGAATGTCTCCATGAACAAGCCCATGCTTTAAACAGTTTTCAAAGGCCCAACCACAACCCATACTCCTAAACATATAACCTTGGTTGGAGAAATCACCCAAATTTTAGTTGGAAGAGTGAGAACAACAATGCACAAACTTCACAACCACCATTTCAAGCACACCACAATTTCCAAAATTCTCATGGATATGCACCTCCTTATGCTCCACCTCTTAGAAGAAATCTTGAGGAAACGTTGCATGCATTCATTGAAAAGCAAGAGACAATCAATACTCAACTTGTTCAAAACATGACAGATTTTAAAGATACTCTTGCTAAATTAACATCTGCTCTTAGTTTCCAAGAGAAAGGTAAGCTTCCATCTCAAACACAACAAAATCCCAAAGGGCAATACAATACAAATGCAAGTAGTTCCGGAAGCCAACACATGGATCAAGTCAAATCAGTCACTACTCTGCGTAGTGGTAAGGTTATTGAAAAACCCTCTCTTGAACCTTATGAGAAAGATGATGAGTCAATCTCTGAGGGTAAGGAATGGGTTGAATCTGAAAATTGCAAAGAAACGACTGATTCTCCGCCAGCACTTCCATTTCCTCAAGCCATGACCAAACAAAGAAAAATCAATCACAATTCTGAAATTTATGAAATTTTCAAACAGGTAAGGATCAATATACCTTTGCTGGATGCAATTAAACAGGTTCCTTCCTATGCTAAATTTTTGAAAGATCTATGCACTGTGAAGAGGAAACTGAATGTGAAAAAGAAAGCCTTTCTAGCCGAACAAGTAAGTGCTATTCTTCAAAACAATAATGCTTTGAAATATAAAGATCCTGGTTGTCCTACAATTTCTTGCTTTATTGGAGAGCATAAAATTGAAAGAGCCTTACTTGATCTTGGTGCTAGTGTGAATTTACTTCCATATTTAGTTTTTCAGAGTCTCAATCTAGGTGAGTTAAAACCAACTTCTATAACTCTTTTACTTGCCGATAGATCTATAAAAGTGCCTAGAGGAATAATTGAAGATGTGTTAGTACAAGTCGATAAATTCATTTATCCTGTGGATTTTATTGTCTTGGACACAGAACCTGTTGAAGCATGTAATTCATTTCCTGTTATTTTAGGACGTCCGTTTCTTGCAACCTCTAACGCATTGATTAATTGTAGGAATGGACTGATGAAGTTATCATTTGGAAACATGACATTGGAGATGAATATTTTCAACATTTGCAAGCAACCTGGAGATGATAATGATTTACAAGAAGTAGATCATATTGATGAATTAGTTTATGATCAACTTGAATCTACTTTAAGTAAAAATGAGTTAGATGAATCTGAAGATTTGCAAATGATTTATTCTAAGGAAGAAATCACGGATGAAACAAGCACCGAAAATGTTGATGCGAATCTTTTGTCAATAGTGACAACAGATTCAACATCTGACATCACACCAATCGATGATTACTTTCCTAACGAGTCCTTACTTTCTCTTAGTCCAATGCCTTGGTATGATAAAAATATCATTTTTCTTGCTTTAGGAGATTTGCCAGCTGATTGGAGTACCGAAGACAAAGAAAAGTTTTTGAACGAAGTAAAGAGCTTTTACTGTGATGACCCTAACTTATTCAAATATTGTCCTGATCAAATATTTCAAAGATTCATTCCCGACAATGAGGTAAGTAGTGTCATTAAACTTTGTCATTCTGAAGCATGTGGAAGTTATTTCTCGTCAAAAAAGACAGCTATAAAAATCTTTCAAAATGGATTTTATTGGCCCACCATGTTCAAGGACACACATGCATTCTGCAAAACTTGTGAAAATTGTCAAAAAATTGACACTGGTCAAAAAGTTTTGTTTTATGATTCTCAACTCTATGCATTCCCTAAAGAGCTAAGATTAAGATGGACCAATCCTTATGGGGCTTGTGATATTGCGAATTCAATGAATGACAATGATTTTAAGGAAAATGGACATCGTTTGAAAGCTTACTTTGATAATTTTCCTAGTGAAAATGAATCAGCTGGTTTGAATGATCTTGTAGATAAAGGTTGATTATTTTGTTTTTCTCACATTTTCTTTTTTGTGTTTCTTTTTGAGTGATTTTTGCAAGTTTCTTTCACCCCGGTCAAATGGCGGATAACGGTACTCCGTGACTTAAGTCAGTTCTTTCTTGAGTGATTTTTGCTAGTTTCTCTCACCCCGGTCAAATGGCGGATAACGGTACTCCGTGACTTAAGTCGGTTCTTTCAGTTTCCCACAATAACTGATATTTGTGTATATATCTGTGCAATTCTTTGAATCTCTCTTCCAATTCTCATTTGAAAATGGACACTAATCTTGAAAAATTGAAAAAGTATTTTCCCGCTCTACCTCAGAATGCGATTACAAAAATTTACCGTGCTAGATGTGCAAGATTGAGATTGTTAATGAATCATGGAATTCCTGAAGATATTCGCTGGTTGATTGAAGCAAAGGTTCGATTATCAGGTGAGTCCTCTAATTTCTTTATTTCACACATGCCTGGAACAGGTAAAAACACTTTTGCAAAGAAGCGTCATGCAAAACGACTAGAAGTCTGTCATCGATGTGCTAGATGGACTTGTAATACACAATGTCGTTCTTTAGGAATGGTATCTATAAACCGTGAAGATAAAATACAATTCATTAAGGATGGCCTGAGTAAGGAGTCTTTAGATAATCTTCTATTAACTCTTGAGATGCATCCTAGTGGAGATGTGCATCGTGCAATTCATGATTTATGGCCACTATTTCATAAAGAACATGATCGACTTAGTCTTGGGAATCTGACTAAAAAAGACCCTGTTTTCCAGTTTTTAAGAAAACTGGATGGGAAGCCTATCCCCGACCCATAGAGGGCGTTTAAGCCGTTCTTGGACGTAAAACCAAGGGAAGATGTGAGCCACAATCACAACTACCTGTACATACACATGCTTTTTCAAAAGTAAATAAATAATTAAATAAAGAGAGAGAGAGAGTGTGTGAGACTCCAGCTGGCCTACATATAGGTGTTATGATTGCCTTTCTAATTCCTCGTCTATAAAACCCTCTTTTCCTTCCTTTCATTTCTACTCAACCCATACATTCAACAAATACAGAAGTGTGTAGAAATGGCAAGTTCCTCAGATCATCAAATAAGAAATATTTGTGTTTTCGGTGGATCTAGTCCTGGGAAAGAAAAGGAGTTTTTAGAATCAGCAAATCATCTTGGTCAGGTGCTAGCTGAGAGAAAGATTCATTTAGTATATGGGGGAGGCAGTCTTGGGTTAATGGGAGGTGTGTCAATAGCTGCATTTTTAGGAGGTAGTCAAGTTTTGGGGGTCGTCCCTGAAGCTTTGGCACAAGGGGACATCATTGGAAAAACAATTGGAGAGGAACTTCAGGTCTCCACAATGTCAGCTCGAATCAATGCAATGTTTAATCATGCTGATGCCTTCATTGCTTTACCAGGTGGTCTAGGCACATTGGAAGAGATCTTTCATATTTCCTCTTGGGCTCAATTACACATTCACCATAAACCCATAGGTTTGTTAAATGTTAATGGTTATTATGATAAGTTGTTGTCTTTTCTTGATCATGCTGTGGAACAGGAATTTCTAACATCTTCTGCATGACAAATCATAATCTCTGCTACTACTGCTGAACAATTGATTGACCAACTACAATCTTTCATTCCTATGATTGATCCTTTCATGAGTCGCATAAATTGGTCATCTAAGGAAAGCCGTAAAAAGCTTAGATTGGATTTGAGCCTTCATTTGTGAATTTTTGTGTCTTTTGGTTTTATTATTGTGTTTTGTTATTTCTTATTTTTGTTTTAGTGTGTTTCAGGTTTGTCGGTGTTCGTTATTTCAGGTGATATCTTTTATACTCTATCTTTCTACCTTAGAACATTGAGGACAATGTCTCGTTTTGGTTGGGGGGAGAGGGTAGTAGTTGATAAAAAAAAGGGTAGTAGTTGATAAAAAAAAAATTGTTTTTCATTTCATAAAGCATGTGCATAATTGTTGTTACTAGGATGACAGAGTAAAGGAGTTCTTTTGTTAAAGTGACCCTTGAGACACATCTTAGTAACCATTCTTAACAAGGTCTATTATAATACTTCCTGAAATATTCAGGTTTACAAACTCTCGTATTGTTACCACTTAATTCTGCTCATATACTTATTTAACATGTATTCTTAAACCTTAATTTACACACACACACTTTAACATATGATTGTGGGTTGCATATTGGATTATTACATTATTTATGTTCTTTTGTTAAAGGTAACAACTAAGGGAAAGGGATTGTATATAATTAAAAAGAAAAAAAGAAAAACATGAAAAAAAAGAAAGAAAAAAAAAAGAAAAAAAAGAAGAAAAAAAAAATGATGATAATAAAAATGTAGATAAGTTTGGTTTCGTAGCCTCCCTAACCTAAGCAATTAAGCCCGAAGGGGTGTCTTAACACCTAATACCCTAAAGTCAACTGACTTGGGAGCTATTGGCCCAACGCTTGTTACATGGGTCGAGGAGAAAAGCTTAAGGGAATCAAACATTGCACTATCTACATATCAGTATCTGCGACCCGAGTTACTAAGCTCGTAGGGGTGTCTTAACACCTAATGCCCTAAGACCAACTGGTCTGGGAGTCATTAGCTGAAAGCTCGTTACAAGAGTTAAAGATGCATGATGTTTTTAAAGTATATGTATATAGAGTTAAAAAAAAAAGACAAAAATAGTAATCCCAACCCAAGGAAGTTAACCTTAAACATTAGAACAAAAATTTTGTTTTCTTCCAAGAAAAGCCCCATAATTATGTGTTGATACATTGAGCATAAAAAAAAGGTTTATTAATATCTTGTTAAGAGGTATTGAGCAGATATATAAATTTAATGAGAGTTTGTTTATCTGGATAGATTAATGGAGGTTAAATGATGAATACCTTGCTTTGTGAAATTTGCAAATTGTTTTAACGCTTTGATTACTAGGGACTAGTAATAAGCTGGTTGAGGGGTGTGATTAGTACTTAAAAGTGCATTTTTATCATGGTTTTATATCATCATTTTGCACTAGAAGTATCAATAACTCCTTAACTAAAGCATGTTTTATAATAATATATCTAATAATATAAGATACCTTTAATTTGTGGTAAATGTCTATTTTTAATGCAGGTCTATCACATAAATGAAAGGATTGATTGATGACTTGAAGAACTTAAATTGCATGGATAAAGAGATGGTCAAACTTAGAGAAGAGATGTCGGTGCAATCCAAACCGGAACACTGTTCGGTAATTGGGTCATATCTAGAGCTATATATCTCAGATTTAGGTCCAATTTATATGGATGGAAAGGTAAGACATAGGCCTACAACTTTCATATGGAGCCCAAGATCTAAAAAGGCCATTATCAAGTCCAAATTGTAGAAACAACAAAGAAGCCCGAATCTGTCTTCCAGCCCGAGCACTGTTCGGTATTTTGGCCATATCTGGAGTTCTAGAAGTCCAAATGAGCTGAATTTTTTACACAAGAAAGCTGAGACAATTGCCTACAACTTTCATGTTTGCAACTGGCTCCAGTTTTGACGTTATCAATGACGTTTTGGGCAGACAAGAGAAGATAAGGATTGTCACCAAGTCAAAAGTTGGCCACCCACTTATCAATTAGTCATCAAATCAATAGTTCCCATTTTTGGCCTATAAAAGGAGGCATTTGCCATGCATTTAGGCATCTTGGTTTCCAGATCAAGATCATGTTCTTCCTTTCTCTCTTTGTATTTTTTATGCTTTGTTTTCATTAATATTAAGTTTATGCCTTTCATTTCCTTTCCTTTACTTAGTTAACTTTTATGTTCTTATTTTGTTTATCTATTTTGCTTTCTTTCATTATGTCTAGCTAAGTTAGTTATGTCAAGGTGAAAAGGTTACACTAATGGTGTGAGAATAAGTATAATGTAAACTTAATATGGACTTTAATGTTTGATACTAACATGTTTTGTATTTGTTATATTGTTCGGTAATTGGGTCATATCTAGAGCTATATATCTCATATTTAGGTCCAATTTATATGGATGGAAAGGTAAGACATAGGCCTACAACTTTCATATGGAGCCCAAGATCTAAAAAGGCCATTATCAAGTCCAAATTGTAGCAACAACAAAGAAGCCCGAATCTGTCTTCCAGCCCGAGCACTGTTCGGTATTTTGGCCATATCTGGAGTTCTAGAAGTCCAAATGAGCTGAATGTTTTGCACAAGAAAGCTGAGACAAGTGCCTACAACTTTCATGTTTGAAACTAGCTCCAATTTGGACGTTATCAATGACTTTTTGGGCAGACCAGAGAAGATAAGGATTGTCACCAAGTCAAAAGTTGGCCACCCACTTATCCATTAGTCCTCAAATCAATAGTTCCCAATTTTGGCCTATAACAGGAGGCATTTGCCATGCAGTGAGGCATCTTGGTTTCCAGATCAAGATCATGCTCTTCCTTTCTCTCTTTGTATTTTTTGTAATGTTTATGCTTTGCTTTCATTAATACTAAGTTTATGCTTTTCATTTCCTTTCCTTTACTTAGTTAGCTTTTATGTTCTTATTTTGTTTATCTATTTTGCTTTCTTTCATTATGTCTAGCTAAGTTAATTATGTCAAGGTGAAAAGGTTACACTAATGGTGTGAGAATAAGTATAATGTAAACTTAATATGGACCTTAATGTTTGATACTAACATGTTTTATATTTGTTATCTTGTTCACTCTTTAATACTTTGCTTGTTAAATGATTAATATTGATTTATGTTATATAACACTTGGTACAACAAATGCTTGGTACTTTCATAGCCCATAATGTATGGTATAACCGACACCTGAGCTATGAAAGGAACTTGATTTATTGTTAACATAAGTTATAATCATGAATGCTTGACGAGATTTACAAGTATTAGCATTAATTGAATAAGATGACTAATGTAATCATGTTAACAATATATAATCTGATTGGAACCTCCTTTGTGTGTGGTTTCCAATTCAATAATAAGAGTTTATACTATACTTGTTTGACATACCATTAGTGGAACCTCTAACCTTGACATTTGTTATTATTATTGTTTAATCCTTACATTAATATTCCATCTCCAAGTTCTCATCATCATCTTCTTCTTCTCTTTCTTTACTATTATTATTATTATTATTATTATTATTATT